TGGGAACACTGAATGTTTTAAAATTGGGAAAGGTGTGCAACAAGGTTGTGTTCTTTCACCATACTTATTCAACCTGTATGCTGAGCAAATAATACGAGAACCTGGGTTCTATGAAGAAAAACGTGGTGTCAGGATTGGAGGAAGACTCGTTAACAACCTGCGATATGCAGGTGATACAACCTTGCTTGTTGAAAGTGAAGAGGACTTGAAACATTTACTTATGAAGATCAAAGTGCACAGCCTTCGGTATGGATTACATCTCAATGTCAAGAAAACAAAAAATCTATCTGCTTAGAGGGGAAATATTCAGTCTTTCACCTGTAAGTGTGATGCTACCTGTAGGGCCTTTGCAGGTGCTCTTTGTCAGTTGAGGCTGTTACTTTGTATTTTTAGTTTGCTAAACATTTTTAAACAAGTGAATATTGAATTATGTTAAGTGCTTTAAATGTATCTAATGATCACGTAAGGGGCCCTGGTAGTGTAGTGGATGACAAGCTGGGCCGCTAACTGACCACAAGGTCAGTAGTTCAAATCTACCAGCACCCTCTGAGGGAGAAAGATGAGACTTTCTGCTCCCATAAGGATTTACAGCCTCAGAAACCCTATACAGGGTCGTCATGAGTTGAAACCGACTTGGTGGCACACCACCACCACTACCAGTGATTGTGTAGTTTTACTTCTTTAGTTTATATATACCACAATGATTACATTAACCTTTCAGACGATAAACTAGCATTATATTTCCAGGACAAACCCCAGGAAACAGAGTTCCAGTGATATTGTCTAGTCATCTTGTATTATCATTGCTCAATTCTTAAAGCATTTATTTTTGACTGTGCAGCTAACTGGTGATCCTGGGAATTGCTTACACATACACAAAAAATTTGTTGTTGTTGTTAGGTGCCATTAAGTCGGTATTGACTCATAGTGGTCCTACGTACAACAGAATGAAACACTGCTCAGTCCTGCACCAACCACACAATCATTGCTACACTTGAGCCCTTTGCTGCTGCCACTGTGCAAATCCTTCTCATTGGGGTCTTCCTCTTTTTTGTCTGGTTATTAATGAGTGTTTACAGTGGTTTCTTCTCATTTTGAATTGTGCCCCATCAGCAGTTGACGGTCCCCAAAGCTTTACTCCATTCACGTCCTAACAGTCAACTCTACTTTGAGGAAGCTGCTCTTCCTTAGTAATATTTTGAGTGTTTTCCAACCTGAGGGGTTCATTTTCTGGCACTATGTCTGACAATATTCTGGTGAGCTTCATCATGTTTCAATGTTCTATATTCCGGTGCAATCTGACAGTGTTCCATTGCTATTCGTAAGGTTTTCAGTGACTAAATATTCAGAAGTAGTCTGCCTCTTCTTCCTAGTCGGTCTTAGTCTGGAAGCTCAGCTGAAACCTGCTCACCATGGGTGACCCTCTTGCTATTTAAAACACAGTGGCATAGCTTCCGGCATCACTCAAGCCACCACAGTATGGCAAAGTGACAGACAGGTGATGGACTCACAAAATTAAGAGGGCTCTTTTCCAGTTCTTTCATGTCAGTCATTGTCCCTCATGCTCTCGGGTGCATTTATTTTTGTTATTAAGTGTCATCCAGTTGCTTCTGACTCAAAGCGACCCCATATATAGGGTTTCCAAGGAGACACTGATAGGTTTGAATTGGTGAACTTTAGGTTAGCAGTCCAATGCTTATCCTACCATATCCCACCAGGACTCCTTCCGTTCCATAGTACTGCTATTTCTGGTCCTTCTGGATAGAAATGTGAAATTTTGTCCTCCTAGTTTTCCTAACTCATCCCATTCTGATTACTGTCCAGCTCTTCAACTGAAGCCTGCTCTCACCCAGAGAAATGAGAAAAGAAAATGGAAAAACTACAATAAACTCACCCCAATTTGGGTCAGTCCTTCAGATTTGAAATTTCCTCTACAAAATGCTTACTTTTGCATATTTTCCAGGATGCTCTGCTAGTTGAAATTTATATTTTATCCAGAATTTTTAGTTGTTTTCAGCAGACAAGATAAATTGAAATAGGTTTTCTACCTTGGTCAAACCAATAGCTGGTAGTGTGTTTTAATGCTGAAATGTATTGAGAAGCCATGAATTTTGTTGTTATTATTCATTATTCTTATATTCTACTTAGGATGCCTGTCAATCTACATTTGTCATCACGGCATTTTCAAATGGATGCAGTAAATAATAGCAGTAGAAAAGAAGTAAGAAGGCATAAAACAGGTGGGTGAATCAGAATGCTAAATTTTAAAAAATATATATTCTATAGATTTCCTTTCCTTCTGCTTCCATCCATCTGATCCATACATTTCACATGTTTCAGAGAATTCAGTTTCCAGAAAAGTCTGTTGTTTTGGTGTCTCTCTGTAAACACACATACACATTCTTATCCAACTGCTCTATTTTAGTCAAGCTATAAATTTATTTCCCAAGTATGAATTTGACTTTATCAATTAATTAGTGTTACTTTTCTGCTTCCTATGTTCTTTTTCCTTCTCTTTGTGTCTCTCATATTGCTCATTGAACACGCATTATTAACAGACTATTTTGTTGCTGTGTACCATCGAGTCAGTTCCAACTCATAGCAGCTCTGAATAGAATTTCCGAGAGCAGTTGGTGGGTTTGAACTGCTAACTCTATGGTTACCAGTCCAGTGTATACCCTATAGTGCCAGACCAGGGCTCAATAGACTATTACAGGCATGGTATTGTAAAGATTCAATTTAATTATCCACATTATAAGCTAATAAGAATTCATTTTAATTTGAAGGTATTAAGAATATTGCTTTATTTATAGCCTCTAAGGACTATCATTTGATCACTAACAATGCATTTCGATTAGTTGTAAATCATTTTAGTACATAATATAAAAAATAATTTAAAATATTAAATTATGTTTTGCACTCCCCAACTTCACTGTGCTATCAGATTGGTCATTCTGTAAGTTTATACTAATGAAGTTATACAGTAATTATTCTCTATGATTTGAACTCAGAAAGCAATCAGTGATAGCATTCCTAGTCTCTTTTTTGCTATTTAGATTTACTAAGTTTTGGTAAAACTTTGGTACTTTTCAAGTTACCAGATAGGGAAATCTGCTTTCCTAATAAAAGGATAGGATAGAAAGAATAGAGATCATTTTAAAGCATTAATTTTTTTATGCTGTTCTTTTTTCCATACTCACCGGCAGACTTGAGGGCATAATCAGCCATCTGGACTTGATCTTCTCTCAACTGCTTAAGTACATAGTTTACCAAATTTGACATTTCCTATAAAAATGTAAAAGCAATCTCTGCAACTGAGTGTTGTCGATGTAATTCATTGTCACAGAACTAAATTTCTTAACTGAAAAACAACAATAGCTAAAATTTGTCAAGCATCTACTCTCAGCCAGGCAGTGTGCAAAATGCCCTGCACAGACATAACTTCATAGTTCTGTAGGAGAAGTCCATCACACAGTTGAAGTAGTCAAAGCAAAGATGTACCCAATAACTCCTCTCAGGTTATACAGCAAGATTAGACCTATGTACCCTCCCTAAAACCCTAACCCCTGAACCAAAGCGCTTACACAATGAAATGGCAAAATGAGATTGTGCTATATGACCTTCTGAGTCCCCTATTAGTATTTTACGATTAGGAATGAAGTCTTGAATGTGCTGTAGTTATGTAGGAATCAAGGCGTAGATGGTGCTTATATATTAAAATTATAAGGCAGCAAATATATTACTTTACTCTGTATGCCCATAACTCTTAACCCCCAAATTGCTCCCTTTCTGTCTTTATAGTCCTAGTGTGGTGCTGTGGGTTAATGCACTTGACTGCAAAGTCCATTTGAACTGCTCCTTGGAAACCCTATACAGAATCGCTATGGGTTGGAACTGACTGGACAGCACTTAACAACAACAACAACATACTACAGTTTTTAGAAATGATTTGACCATTTGGATTAATGTTGGGCTTTTAAGGACATTCTAATTTTAAAAAGGAAATTATCTTGCAGGATACATGATATGGTATTGTTGTTGTTGTCAAGTGCCAACCAATGTGTTCCATATCACAACAATCCTATATAGGGTTTCTGAGGAGTGGCTGGTGAGTTTGAACCAATGACCTTGTGGTTCAAACTGACCTTGCAGTCCAGTGTTTATCCTACAGCACCACATGATAATGGTATGAGTTCTAATAATACATACACACTTTGCCACAGTGATCTGCCAAAGTGAAGCCTAGAGGGTGTTGTTGTTGTTGTGTGCCGTGGAGTCAGTTCCGAGTCATAGCGACCCTGTGCAGGGTTTACAAAGCTGTAAATCTTTACGGGAGCAGAAAGCCTCATCTTTCTCTCACTAAACAACTGGTAGTTTCAAACAGCTGACCCTGAGGTTCATAGCCCAATTTGTAACCACTGCACTACCAGATATCAGATTTCTGTGCATTTCAAAAAGTAGATTTTAAGGAAGGAAAAGAAGAGAAGCAAAATAAACTCACTGTTTCTATCATAATTTTACCTAAATCTGGTGCTAATTAGACTAAATAGATATGTTGTTGTTGTTAGGTGCCGTCGAGTCAGCACCAACTCATAGTGACACAATAGAACAAAACACTGTGTGGTCCTGAAGCAACCTCACAATCATTGCTACACTTGACAATATTTGGGTGGTCTTCATCATGTTTCCATATTCAATATTCTGGTGCTATCTGACAGTGTTTCACTGCTACTCATAAGGTTTTCTGTGACTAAATACTTAGACGTAGTCTGTCTCTTCTTCCTAGTCTAGAAGCTCATCTGAAACTGCCCACCCGGTTTGAATTTACAATACCACTGGCGTAGCTTTCAGCCTCACAGCAACACACAAGCTACATCAGTACATCAAACTGAAAGATGAGTGATAGAAATAGGTCTAGTTCACGGAAGAAAAGTATTTTGCTAGTTAAGCATTTGTGTATAGATAGTCCAAAAATGCCATTTCAGAATGATCTCCAACCCACCCACCCACCTCCCAAGAAGTAAAATGGAATCAGTTGTTTATTTTGGTGGCACATAATTACTAGACAAATTTCCTCTGTGATCCAGCATGTATGAAAAAGTAGGTTTCTCAGGGCTGGTTTTAGTGAAAGGAAGTGACTGTTAGGAAAGAATTTTAATGAAGTTGCCTCAAGCCAAACCATAATACTAAAACAATCCACTCAAAAAAGTAATTGTGAAATGACACTAGAGGGTAATACTCAAAAGCATCCACTCAAATCTCCAATACCTTCTTACCTCATCAAAAATGTCCTTGTTGTCTTGTTTCTCAATAGGATCCCCACTCCAGCTAGCATTGTACACACCATCCTTCAGTTCTCTTAGAAATACCTTTAGAGCATCTATTTGTTCTTTTACAAGTAGAATTTCACGGAAATTGTTTTTCAAAGTCTGGCTTTCTCTCCTGTCAATAGAGAAACATAAGGTGAAAGGAGGAAAGGAATGAACTTCCTTTTGGTGTAATCAACTAGTATGGGGCTTCATGGACGAAGTAACTGGTGGGCTTGAACTGTCAGCCTTACACTTAGCAGCCCAATGCTTTACCCACTGCACCAGTAGGGCTCCTTAAGAGAAAAACCATTTGTTATTGTTGTTGTTGTTGTTAAGTGCCATCAAGTTGGTTCCGACCCATAGCGAACCTGTCTAGGGTTTCTGAGGAATGACTGGTGAGCTTGAACCGCTGCCCTTGCAGTTCAAATGGCTTTGCAGTCAGGTGCTTTAACCCACAGCGCCACATCAGGACTCTATTTGCCATTGTTGTTGTTGTTGTTATGTGCCATGGAGTCAGTTCCGACTCATAGCGACCCTGTATAGGGTTTCCGAGGCTGGAAATCTTTACAGGAGCAGAAAGCCTCATCTTTCTCCCGTGGAACACCTGGTAGTTTCGAACTGCTGCCCCTGAGGTTAACAGCCCGATTCATCACCCCTACACTACCAGAGGGCCTTAGGTTGTCCTTAACTCAGGGTGACCTGTGTGTGTCAGAATAGAACTGAGCTCCACAGGCTTTTTGAAGGCGGATATTTCAGAAGAGCCCATCTTAGTGAACGCCAACTTCCAAACTTTCAGGTAGCAGCTGAGCACATTGACCATTTGCACTACCCAGAGACTCCTCAGCAACAAAACAAGGTTTTTCATATTATTTAAAAAATAAATTCTGTAGTGAATGTAAATTAGGGATGCAATTTCGTTTAACTTATTACTGTTTCACTAAATATGACACACAGACATATGACTGCTGTGGAAAGCTTTCTTGAGGAAAGCTTTTCAGTGCTACATTTTGCACTAGGTCTGCAGGTCTGAATCAACCTTGCTCTTCCCTCTGGGGAGCTCAGGACATGCTGACATGAATTAGTGTGATGCTGTGTGAGTGTACACAGGGAAATCCTCAATCTAAACCGCCTTAAAATTGGGAAACACCTTGCATTTCAGCTATGGTGCTCAGCAGTGGTTTTCAAACTGTGCTCTAGGTTTGTGTATGGGCGTCAGTGGAATCTAGTCAACGGGCAACTATACTTTACCTGTTTTTAAAGAAATGCTTGCATAATAATTTACCTTTTTTTTTTTTTTTTTTGAAATGTTTTATTCTGAATTATGTGATAGTTTA